ATCCCAAAACACAGAAAATTTCTGCGTTTCGCCTTTCAAGGGATGAAGTACCAGTACAACAGGCTGCCTTTCGGGTACTCCCTCGCACCTCGTACGTTCTCAAAGTGTGTGGAGACAGCCCTGCATCCACTGCACAGAGCAGGGATGAGAGTTTTGTTTTACCTGGACGACCTGCTGCTCCTGTCTCACTCCAGACAGGAAGCATTGATACAGGCTCAGGTGTTGGCATCACACCTGCTAAATCTGGGCTTCGCCATAAATTGGAAGAAAAGCTCGATTTTCCCGGCCCAGACAATTGTTTATCTGGGAGTGGAATTAAATTCAATTACCATGACGGCTCGCTTATCACAAACAAGAATCGACACTCTAAAAAACCAATTACGCCACGTAAGACCTGGCAAAGTGGTAACAGCTGTCTCCGTCATGAAGCTGTTGGGAATGATGTCATCAGCTCACACAGTGGTCCCGCTGGGTTTGTTACACATGAGGCGCCTCCAGAGGTGGTTTACGCGCCTGCGTGTGGATCCAGTAAAACAAAAGAGACGGATGATCACTGTCCCTCCCTCCGTGAGAGCAGACCTCCGACACTGGGGAAACACCCTGGCTCTGTCAGAGGGAGTCCCCGTCAGCAAACCCTCGACACACGTATCAGTCTTCACGGACGCGTCTCTGTCAGGTTGGGGGGGGACATGCCTATCTCAAGCAGTAGGGGCGCTGTGGCCCCACCGCACATCAGCCCACATCAATGTTTTGGAGTGTCGCACAGTGCTGAATGTGATTCAGCATTTTGCTCCCGTGCTACAAAATCAACACGTGTTGATTCACACAGACAACATGGTGACTGCTGCGTACATAAACCGCCAGGGGGGTGTGCGTTCAGCCCAGATGTTACACATTGCGCGGAAGCTACTGTGTTGGGCTCACCAAAATCTGCTTTCCATCAGAGCGGTTTACATACCCGGCGTTCTGAACAGAGGAGCAGACGTGATGTCCAGGGGCGGTCCACGTCACGCGGACTGGACCCTCCATCCAGACCTGATGTTTCAGACGTGGCAGAAGTTTGGCAAAGCAGCTGTGGACCTGTTTGCGACGCGAGAGAACGCTCAGTGCCAGTTATGGTTTTCCCTGAGCCCTCGAGACGATCCACCGCTGGGGGTGGATGCATTTGCCCACAGCCCGTGGCCCAAAACGCTTCTGTACGCGTTCCCTCCTCCTCCTCTGATTTTACGGTTCCTGAACCGAGTTCAGGAGGAGGGACTGACAGCTCTCCTGGTAGCTCCCGAGCGCGTGAACGCACCATGGTTCCCGGTCCTGCAGCGTCTGTTGTCAGGTCGCCCGTGGAAACTGCCATGGAGGGAAGATGCTCTCCTTCAAGCAGGAGGAGCGATCAGGAGTTACCCGGAAATAGGCCAGCACCTGTGGGTCTGGCCGCTGAGCGGTCCCGCTTAGAGAGGATGGGTCTCCCTCAGGAGGTAGTGCGCACAATTCAAGATTCACGTGCTGCATCTACCACAGCCCTGTACACATCAAAGTGGACGGCTTTTCAGCGCTGGTGTACAGAGAAAGGTTTGGAGGCCACCTCATGTCCATTAGGTGGCGTGCTGTCCTTTCTTCAACAGCTGATGGATAGGAAGTTGGCGTTCAGCACGATTAAAACGTACGCTGCAGCCATCTCTTCCTGCCACGAAGGGTTCGGGGACAGAACAGCTTTTAACCACCCGCTGATGAAGCGGTTTTTAAAAGGTGTACAAAGACATAGACCGGTTTCACGCCCACTCGTTCCACAGTGGGATTTAACGCTGGTCCTGCGAGCCCTGATCAAAGCTCCTTTTGAGCCTCTGGATCAAGTTTCACTTAAATTCCTGTCTCTTAAAACAGCCCTGCTACTGGCTTTAACATCCGCTAAGAGGGTGAGTGATTTATCTGCCCTCTCTGCCGCTCCGTCATGTCTCAGAATCCAGGCTGACGGTAGTTCAGCTGATTTAAGACCAAACCCAGCCTTTATGCCTAAAAGCATCACGAGCTCTTTTAAATCGAGACAGATATCGTTGGAGGGATTCTTCCCTCCCCCCCACAGATCAGAAGAAGAAGCATCTTTTCATCTTCTCTGTCCGGTGCGGGCGTTATCGTGTTACATAGCGCGCACAGCTGCAATGCGTCAAACTCAACATTTGTTTGTGCATTATAGAGATGCATCCGCAGGCCGCCCGTTATCCACCCAGCGCCTGTCACACTGGCTGTGTGAGGCCATTTCTGAAGCCTACAGAGCATCAGATCTAGAGCCTCCTGTCAACCTCAAAGCACACTCAACCAGGGGTATCGCATCTTCGACTGCTCTGCATAATGGTATGTCAATGCAGGACATTTGCACTGCGGCTGCATGGTCATCACCCTGCTCATTTATTCGCTTTTACCTACGTGATGTAACGGCTCGTTCCATGACACATTCTGTCCTTAGTGCTCTAACAGAATGAATATTGTTGTTCTCATGGAACTCTGTTTAAGCTCACATCTGTCTGCATGCATTACAGTGTGAGATGTTGTTATCAGCCACAAGTTGTGTCTGTGATTCGGTTCTATTGTCACTAATCAGTTCATGACTATTGTTACCAATCAGTTCATTTGTTCAATAATCAGTTCATTGATATTAATCTGTTTATACTGTTCAATCATGAATCAGTTGCTTCATGCCCCCCCCCCCCTCCTCTTTTCAATATCTTCCCCGTTGAAAGTTTTTCCGGGGCATTCATGCTGTCAGAACGCATAGTTGCACAACATGCGTCTGTGCATGGCACACAATTACGCGATGCGTAATTATGCACATGGGGAACTGAGTGGCAAGACGTTTTTTGGGCAAGCTTCCGCTTCTTACTGGGTTCGAATGGACCCAGTGAGGCGAGGACCACATCCGCTTCGCCCTTAACCCATCAGCGACAGCCTTAAAGGGCGAAGCCTATATGACATAGAACGTTGGTTACGTACTGTAACCCCAGATTCTATGAATATAGGCGTAGCCCTTTAAGCGTCGGGCCTCACTGGCTCCTGAATAGCTGAAGAAAAGAATAAGCTATTTGGGAGCAGATTACCCGCTCTTAACGTAATTTATACGGATCGGGTGGGGCCCACACAGCAGGTGGGCGTGGACTAATTTTTAGTGCTTATGCTGCGCATAACGGGATAAACCATCAGCGACAGCCTTAAAGGGCTACGCCTATATTCATAGAATCTGGGGTTACAGTACGTAACCAACGTTTTTGTTTCGTTTTTTTTTTTTATATAATTTCTTCCATTTACTTTTCATTTATATGCTTTTTCTTATGATTGTCTACTGTTGTCATCTGTGTTCTGTCTTAAACAAGTCTCTCTTGTAAATGAGTCCTCGAGGCTCAAAGAGACTAACCTGCATAAATAAAGGTTGGATTGAATTTAATTGAATTAACGTCTGACAACAGTCTAATGAATTTGCAGTAGAATAATTAAAGCATATCTACCAACATTTGATGATGGCAAAGAGGGGCACCTGGGGAGCGAAGCAGTCCTGGGGGGTCTGGGGGCAAAAAATCTTCCCAAAACTACAGACATTTAATTCAATTCAATTCAAAAATACTTTATTAATCCCAAAGGGAAATTATTTGTTGTTGTAGCTCGTTATCCTCATTTCATTAAGATATGTTATAGATACTGATGGCTGTAGACATGCAGGATCTCTTGTAAAGGTCCATCCCACAGTGGAGCCTAAGAAACTGGCTGCAGATGCCGTCCAATCCATCCACCCAGATTCGGCTGGCCTCTCGGTTCCCCCGGGCTTTAGGACCGCCTGAATGCCGGGCAGAACTCCTCCCAGAGCCATGACCACTCCTCCCAGCAGTCTGCCGAGCTCCTCATGGATGCGGACAGCCAGCTGTAGGTGCTGAGGGACGATCCTGTCCCTCCGCTGTCACGAGCCGTGTTTCCTGCTAGTTCCAGGATCTCAGTGGTCAGGCACTCGAGCAGAGCTGGCAGGTAGATGAGAATGCGTCCACATAACATCCTTTTCAACTCATTTGAGAGTTGGGGCCATAGTTGAGATATTATTTGAGCTTTTGAGATGTTAATCAGCTGCTGTTGTTGTAGAAAACTGCCTTGTTGCCATGGTTACGCATCATAACAAATGTCCAAAACCAAAAAAGTCACAGTAAAAATCCTTCCAGCTGCACAGCATCCGGCACCAGAGGAAACAATCATCCAAAAAATGTGATTTACATCCAGAAAATCAGGAATTAAAGTTTCCAAAAGCAAAATATCAGAATGAAAGTAACAGAGCTGCTCCAACATGCAGCCACCTGGAGCGGCGCAATTCTAGAACATTTAATGTGCATTTTACAAAATTTTTAGGATTAATAAATTGGTAGTACATTGTGAGCTTTATAATCCAGAAATGCCCCCACAAGCCACATGCTGTACTCTGAAAAAAAAAAAAAAAATCAAATGAGCTCCATGGTCCAAAGGGCAAAGGGAGGTGATCACCAGTCTATCTGTGCACTCATGTGACAATCAGTCACTTTGTTTACATTGAGTGCACACCTGCATTTCAGAAACGCTCACCTGTAAAACTACAGGAATAAACTCCAAACTACAACATTTGGTGAAGTTCAGAACAACCATTATGTTTTAGTTTATAGTTTGCAAAGAGCACCTTTGATTTCTCCTCTCTTCACCGCTTCCTGCCGACTTCCGGTCTTTATTGCTCCCAGTAAAAACCAGAAATCTCACTGAGTAATTATTTGCTCCATCTGCTTCGTCTCCACCAGGATCGATCCGATCTGTTACGTAACGGCTTTGCGTAATCGATCCATCGGGATGTGTAGTCACGCGCGTCAACTTCAACACTGTGCCAGCAAAGCGACAAACTACAGCTCCCATGAGCCTCAGCGGCACGTTGCTTCACTACTTCCAGACTAGTTCTGCTCGAGTTGAGAACCCGCTTCATTGCATGAATAATAAAGAATCAGTTTGATGTCATGGCGGAGTCTGCAGCCTGTCCTGGGTTCCGGTTCGGGGAGTCCCGCTACGACCAGGTGGGTCCGGTTTTTTTCAGTCCGGAATCAAACCATGTCGTTTTTTATTCTCCGCCTCGCTCCGGATGCTTTTCCTGACAGGCTTGTTTGTACAGATTGTTCTCTCCATAAATCCATTTCCTCTTAAAGTTTCCTGCGTAAAATTACATTTTTGCAGTTTTATATGTAAATTGTAATTTTCTGGGGTCAGCCCAGTTAAAGCGACCTTCATGTTCTCTCAGAGCTTTAACTTTAACAGCACTGGTTGCGTTTCTTTGAGTTATTTTTTTAAAACTCAGAGATGATTCACTTGGATGAAGATGATGCTTGGAGGATTGTCTATATAAGATGGTTTGATTTGAACACATGTTCTGCCATGCAGCTCATTGCAAAAGTCAACAACCACTGATGGCGCAGTCTGACAGAGAGTTGTCTACACATGCTGATAATCAGTTCTGAAATGCAGGTATGCACTCAGTGTAAACAAAGCAGAAACAGGCTTGGGTCACGTGATTGACATACACTGATTTTATGTAGGTAAACTGGAAAGAGTGAGCCGAGTGCCATGAATTGGTGATGGAGTGCCGGAGTAACAGAGCTTGGCGTTTAAACACATGTGGCTTTTGTCAGACTTCATAAAGACCTATTCACTTATCATTTAACCTAACCTTTGTTTTATCTTCACGCATTTGAGCATAAGTACGCCTGACTGTTGGAGAAAAATATTTTCTTATCTTACTCAAAAAGAACCGCACTCAACATCAGGAGAAGATTTTTAACTGCATTTACTTGCAAGGTCAGGTTACAGGAATATACATAAAGTACACTCATATAAACCAGTCATGAGAATCTGCTCCGAGCCGCCGTCTCAGCTTGTTTTTATACCCTTATCCGTTCAGCTGAGCTCACAGATCTTTGAGGTGTCCTTGGCTGCAGCCTCTCTCAGCTCCTCATCCTCTGCTAACCCAAACATATGATCCATGGGCAGAGTTAAGACTCTCAGCCATAGTAATAAAAACATCCATAACCTTTGAGCAAACATCCCCTAACACTAACATCAAAGCTGTTGGAGTCTCCTATTAGACCTATTTTCAGCTGCTTCAGCTCTGGTATCATTCATTCAACCTTTATTTATACAGGTTAATCCCACTGAGCCTCGGAGACTCATTTACAAGAGAGACCTGGAAACAAAACAATGCAAACAAATCAAATCTGCTTACAATTTTTTTTATTATGACACATTTACCCTCAATTTGAGATAAAAAAAAATGTGTGGACTTTTTTCCTAACTAAAAAACAAACAAACAACAAAATAATTATTTTAAGCTTTTGACTAGGGATGCACGATATTATCGGCATGGTATCGGTATCGGCCGATATTAGCGATAAAGTTAAATATCGGACATCGGCCATTCCATTAAAATAACTCACTGATATAAAAGGCTTCTGCTTTAAGTTAATTTTTAATTTAAGGAACTGTCAAGTATATCTATTAATGCACTACTACTTATGCACTTGTCGCTTGTGAACAGGTTGAGTTTAGATTTGTGAAAATGTACAAATTTGCACTGTTCGAGTGTTGTCGTTGTGTTAGAGAGAGTAAACGTTGTGAATAAATTTGACATTAAACATAATCCAAGTTGAAGTGTTGCATCATTTTCAGCCCCCGTTTTGGCATCTGCATTTGGTAGCAGGCCAAATTGACAAAGACCATGTAGAATAATGTAGTATTTTAATTCCACAACAGAGAAAGCGATGTAGTCTCTGTAAGTAGGTCTAAGAAAAAATAATGTAGGTATTGGTTATCGGCCAAATAAGATCTAACATATTGAATATTGGCCAAAAATCCAATATTGTGCACCCCTAATTTTGACCTTTGCTCACTTTTACAAAACACAATAACTTTGTGCTCTGCAGGAACTTCTGAAGGTCAATTTAAAAAAAAGAAACAAGTGGAACAAAATAATTTCAGAGCAGCTAAAAAGAATAAAAGCTGCAACAATCTACAAAAACTCCACTAATTATTAAAAAAACAAAGCAGGTGTGCATGCACGACTGCCAAAGTTAGAAGAGCTGCAGAGATGGAAACGAACAACTTCAAGCTCAATGTAGCTGAAATGAAATGCACAGTTTCACACAAAGCTACAAGAATTAAATGCAAAATATCCACAAACTGATTTGAAATCTGTCTAAAAATCCCACAAAATGACTGCAAATGGTTGCAGAATTGACACAAGAAGATCAAAATACAAAACTCAGTAAGGAAGAACATAATGTTCAGGATACTCAGGTCTTATTTAAAGGGGGTGGGGTCTGTTTACATATATGTACCAGGAGACCCCCAGTTTTATGATTTATTTATGACCCGTCCACCATTAATGAACACAGGATCATCCTTTGCTCCCAGAATTCCTAAATCACAGCCTTCACTCTTTTTCCCGTGTGTTTTTAATCCATTTTCAGCCACGCACCCCTTATGTGCAGCTGCTAAATACATGAGTTTGTTGCAAACCTTGATTCCGATCAAACAGTTTTGGTTCACATTTATTAATTTTTATTATCAGAAACCTGCTGTTCGTGACGGTTTGTTAAAGATGCTGTAAAACCTTGCTGGCGTTGCGTCAAAGCCGATGAAACGAGGCCGTCTCTTGAATCAGCACAAATCTTGCTTGGCTTTGTCGGCACGCACGGAGCCCGGCTTCCATCTTCGCCTCGTTGTGTGCTCTTCTGGGAGCTGAAGCTCATGAATAATTAACGCCGGCTCCTCACATGGATCCCCCTCTCTGCAGCACACAGAGCCTGTCAGGAAATAAGACGTGCAGTGAGGGGAAGTTTGTCCTGTCTTTCTGAGGACTGGCGGTATTTTCCAGTCATTTTAATTAGGATCTGCAGCTCCTGAGGTAATTAAAGCAGAGACGTCTGTGTTTTCTACCACTCATAACTGATAAACGCCGCAGAGGGAGTCTGATTGAATCTGGTTGCCATGTTTTTGCTCAACCAGGTTGCCAAATAGACTCTTGGCATGAACTGCTGCAGGGCCTTTTCAGAGAGCTGGAATGCATTATTAGCTGTTGGCACGCTGATGAAGAAGGCACCAAACAGGGTGCTTGACCAGCTTCAAACATCACATGGAAGAAGATGAATGGTAGATTTGAATATGCACAGATTGTTTCTGCTTTCCCCACAAAAATCTCTAATGTTAATGTAGGTTCATTTTTACTGTTTTCCTGCTTTGCATCAACACAGTGTCCATGTGAAATATCTATAATTTCTGTTGAACTTATCCAAGAAGTTTTAATGGCATCATAATTGACACACTGAAGCTTAAACATAGCACAAAACAAAGACGGAAGCTTGAAAAAGAACAAGATCAGAACATGCTCTAAAGAGATGCAGTGTGTTTTCTGTTTGGAAATTTAGATCCTGCAGGAATTCTAACCCTTTTAAAACGGGCCGAAAAACAAAAGCGTACAATTTTAAAGAGGTTTGGATTTAGATTTTCCTCTTGACTCTGCTGTCAACACAAGCACAGTGTGTGAGCGTGCACTGAAAACATATTAGAAACTAAAAAGTCTTCTTCCTGAATCAAACTGTTGTTTGGCCACAAAGTGGACAATCAATAGAAATCAGTTAAAAAAAAAAAAAAAAAAAAAAAAGAGGTGTCCCACCTACAAAAAACCCACTGCTAATCCACTTATTGATATTATTATATTATTGTTTTAAATGAGCAAGCTGCTCTGCCACATCGTTCACATATTATCTCTTATAAATCTTTTTTTTTAACTATGATATCTCAGGTTTGAAAAGTGATGTAAGGAAAGCAAATAGAGGAGAAGTGAACACAGGAAGGGGTGCTCCCTGAAGACCTTAATGTATTTTCATAATACACTTCCAGCTATTTTAACTAGCAACAATGGTGTACCACAAGGCTCAGTCTTAAGACCCACCCTCTTCACAATCTACACAAGTAATGTAGGTCAGATCATTTCTGATGCAGCCTTACATTTCCATAATACACTTCCAGCTATTTAACTA